AATCTAATACTCCTATTCTACAAGCGAAATTGTATGACTCTTGCCATGCAGCCTGTTCTCTCTCAAATTCTTTGTCAGTAGAAGGGAAATGAATCCAATAATCAGCTTTTTGTATTATTCTTGGAATAACTTCTGCTAAGACATTTGAGATAGTTGGTTGGCAAACTCCTATATCTGTAGCAACGCCAGTCTCAAAACCAGTATCCGCCACATACCTTATAAAAAACTCCTTTCCTCTGAATGACCCAGAATGTGTTCACACGTCCATTTAACATTTTCCTTCTCAAATCGAAGTAACACTTTCTGGTCTCGATTGTCCACGTCTCTACGAACTGAATATACTTTAGGATTGCGTAAAGTATTTATAAATTCGGCCATGGTGTCACTCTCTTCCTAAGTTGAGTTTGCTACTGACTAGACTCAAGTGAAATGGACCAGATGCTCCAGACTTGAAGCAAATATTTTTTTATTAATATCTACCAGAGCAAATGCTCACAAACTAGAGTCAACCGAGTTTGAGCAAAAGTTTAACTTTATTTATTAATACCAGTTGCAGCATATATTTCGAGTACTTTGAGTCTGACCTTATACTTCATCTTATTAATATCACTGAATGAATGTGAAAGTCGATACCTACATATTTGAAGTTGCACCTAACGTCTTCAGCCACTCACCATAGAGATCTGAGAGTTTAAATCAAATTCGGAGCCAAAATCGAATGACAAAAGTTGTTCAACAAATAAATGCTCCCATCAATCAAAAGTGCGTATGGGGACAAATTTCGAAGCTCACTGTAAACAGATGAGCAACATCAATGGTAGATTGAACGAACAAGTTTTAGAAGGGAATTGATGAGACAAATCAGAAGTTATCAAAATGGGACACAAGGGAGTAATACAGAAAACAATCTGTGGTGATAGGACTGAAACCAGAAATGTGTTATTATCCCAAATATACAAGTTGTTTATAAAAATCATCACCAACTCCTTGAACAAGCTGGGTTCTGTCCGAGAGGAGTCGCACAAGGAAATCTGATATTAGCCAAATTTTCTCTTATGGCAATGGGGGATCATCTACGAAACTAGACTAGGTTTTGACATTCCATGATATTGTTAGAAATATTTTTTCAGGTTATGACCAAAGTGAATACAGGGACACAACGGTCCCTGTTTGGAATTTTGCTTGGACAGGGAGCTTCAGCCTGTCCTTCTGATGAGTCATAAAAAGGACGAAACGCGTCAAGAATTGGCACGGAAAGTCTGGGTCCACTGCTCAGTGGGTCGATTCCCAAACAAGGACCGTTGTGTCCCTGTATGCACGATGGTCATAACCTGAAAAAATCTTTCTAACAATTTTCATTGCCAACAAAACTCAGACCAGTCAGTGTAGTTCAACGCCGGTAGGGGTATTTGCCCTCGGAGTAGTTGTTTCTGACTGGTCACCGAAGTTCAATTTTGCTGGGACAGGGAGCTTCAGCCCATATCCTTCTGATGAGTCCTAAAAAGGACGAAACGCGTCAAGGATTGGTACGGGAAGTCTGGGTCCAATGCTCAGTGGGTCGATTCCCAAACAGGGACCGTTGTGTCCCTGTATTCACGTTGGTCATAACCTGAAAAAATCTTTCTAACAATTTTCATTGCCAACGAAAGCTCAGACCAGTCAGTGTAGTTCAACGCCGGTAGGGGTATTTGCCCTTGGAGTAGTTGTTTCTGACTGGTCAACGAAGTTCAATTCCAAGATATGTTGGAAAACGACTAAATTATCTAAAGATTCAAAAGAATAACTATTCAGTTGGCAAGAGCATCGGAAGAAATGGGCTTGAGGAGGCAAAACCTAACACCGAAGAAGAAAGAAGAGTCACCATTGAAAACCTTCTTTTGGAAAAAGTCAGCGGATACATCTACATCTACCTGGGGCAGGTCACTATAAAACCAACCAACAGCAAATAAAGCTAGCATGGACAACTTTGTATGTGAAAGTCGACACTTACATGTTTGAAGTTGTAACGTAGGTATCGAGTCACCATAGTTCTGGAAGCTTAAATCAACTTCGGAGCCAAGAGAGAATGCGTTGTCTGACAATCAATTAAAGTGCGTAGGGATGAATTTCGAAGGTCATCATAAAGAGACATGAAATGAAAGGATCAGAAGATGACATAAACCAGATCACTGATAAATTCAACGAACAACAAGGGAGTTGATGAGGCAAATAGGCAATTATGAACAATGGGACACAACGGAGTATAAAGAAAATAATCTGTGCGGTGATAGGAGTGAAATCAGAAACATGTTATAATCCCAAATATACAAGGTGTCCATTATAATCATCACCACTTTCCACCTAAAATGGTCAGCTACCGACTCCTTGAACAAGCTGGGAGTCACATAAGGAGATCTGATATCAGACAAGTTTTTCATTATGACAATGAAGGATTATCTACGAAACTGGAATTGTCTTGAAATTACATGATATGCTAGAAAACTAAATCGTCTAAGGATTTAATAGCTATGAAAAGCCAGAGTTGATGACTATTCAGTTAGAAATGGGCCTGAAGAGATGGAACTTATTACCGAAGAAGAAAGAAGGGTCATTATTGAACAACTTCCTCTGGAAAAAGTCAGCGGACACATCTACTGGACAGAAACTGAAACTTGATAAAAGCAACCAACCAGCGAACAAAACCAGCATTGATAGGTTTTGGCAAGCTCTCCTGAGTCCTTGAGAGCCAAATTACTTTAACTGAGAATTAGAGTTTTCAACTAATAGATATGTAAGACTCAGAATGACATACATATATTAAAAAAAAAAAAACATACATATATGGTCGTCAGGGTTGGACAATTACAAACAACTAGATCGACAAAATACCTATTACTATAAAAGGACTTTAGGGTTCCTACCAGTGAACAGCGTTCAAATGAAAACAAATGTCCCGTCTTTGTCTATTCTATTTGTATTTGCATATCGATCTCATGAAAAGAATGTTCCTCGTTTTTAAGAATAGACATGCTGGAGCGGATTATGCTGAATAAAAGAGATTGTGGCTCCGTCAAGTTAGCCCCCCACATTCGAATTTTCTAACAAAACTGAAAATACTTACTGTGCTCGGAGTGTGCTTTACTGTGCCGATGATATTTTAAACTGTGCCGTTTTGATATCAAATTTATAGGAAAAACAAGATGAGGTGCTAACTTGACGCTCAGCCCCCCCAAAATTTTTGAAATCAGATCAAACAGAATGGATTCTTATCCAATGTGCACCAGTGCAAATATTTGATCGCTCGGAGTGGGTGTGAGTGCCACACTATTTTTGCGAACGGATTCCGCTAATAAAGTGTATCCCATGCAAAATTAAAATTCGGTCTAGTATACACTTCAATAGGAGTCCATTTTTGTCTGAATCGATTTTCAAAATTTTGGGGGGCTGAGCGTCAAGTTAGCACTCCCTGTAGGATTTTATCAAAAAATCACCGAACATGGAAATTTTGAAAAAAACCTTATACAGTATAGTCCAGCCACTTCAGATTGAATAGGAATCCATATTTGTTTGATCTGATTTCCAAAATGTTGGGGGGACTGAGCGTCAAGTTAGCCCCCCAGTAAGATTTTATCAGAAAATTACCAAATATGGGAATTTTGAGAAAAACCTGATACAGTACAGTCCAGCACACTTCAGATTGAATAGGAATCCATTTTTTTGGGGGGGGGGGGGATGAACGTCAAGTTAGCCACAGTAAGATTTCGTCGGGAATGAGCAAATATGGAAATTTTGAGAAAAACCTGATACAGCACACTTCAGATTAGTTCAGATTGCATAAGAATCAATTTTTTTTTTATCTGATTTCCAAAATTTTCGGGGAAGGGGCTGAGCGTCAAGTTAGCCCCCCAGTAAGATTTTGTCGGAAAATGACCGAATATGGAAACTTTGAGAAAAGTCTGATACAGCACAGTTCAACACACTTCCAATTGCATGAAGATCCGTTTTTGATTGATATGATTTCCAAAATTTTGGTGGGAAGGGGCAGAGCGTCAAGTTAGCCCCCAGTAAGATTTTGTCGGAAAATTACCGAATATGGAAATTTTGGGAAAAACCTGATACAGCAAAGTCCAACACACTACAGATTAAATAGAGATCAAACCTGATACAGCACACTTCAGATTAGTTCAGATTGCATAAAAATAAATTTTTCTTTGATCTGATTTCCAAAATTTTGGGGGGCTGAGCGTCAAATTAGCCCCTCCAGTAGGATTTTGTCGGAAAATGACCGAATATGAACATTTTGAGAAAAACCTGATACAGCACTGTACAGCACACTTCAGATTGAATGGGAATCCATTTTTGTTTGATCTGATTTCCAAAATTTTGGGGGGGGGGACTGAGCGTCAAGTTTGCCCCTTATCTCGGCACAGTTCAAAATATCATCGGCACAGTAAAGCACACTTTGAGCACAGTGAGTGGTTGCAATTTTGTAAGAAAATTTGAATGTGGGGGCTTACTTGACGGAGCCAGACATTGTGATGAAAATGCTAAAATTGATGATATTGCTGAAAGCATTTTATTTCAGTAGATAAAAGTGAAAGACTTTTATATGTAACAAAGACTTTTTCCGCTGGTTAGTTAATCCTTGGAAAAGAAGTTTGAAATCAAATCAGTTCCTGGAAATTTAAATATATTTAAATGATCATAACTCTGTAACAAATTATAAAAAAACACCTATTTTTATTTCGATTCAATGAATACACTGTATGTACCTAGATAAACTTCTATTGAAAGAGATAAATCCATCGTAAATAAAGCTTGAACCTGAATTGTCAAAATTCAATAGTTTATGTAAAAGTTTATCTCTTATCCGATGTTCTCATAATATTAACGTATTATATCCTTTGCTTTTGCTTTTCAGTAAATTTCTCCCATTGAATTGAAGAGAATTTCACTCAAAATCTCATAATTTTTCATTCACTGGGTAATAGGAAAAATCAATATTAAAACAATCATATTTTTTCCAAAGAAATATTTAATCAGTTCAGACAATCTGTACAATTACAATATATTAAGGTTTTACAGTTAAATATAAGAAACATGGCATCAAAGCTTAAATTGGTAGCCCACTAATAGTACAACTATCTATTTTATAGTACAGTTACTTTTTGTTTTAATTCGGTTTGAGGGTATGCATCTCAGTAACTAAATATTAGAAATTTTTATCGAGACAAAAATTTCTAATTACTGACTTAAAAATGTATATTACATCGTATAATACCAAACATCATTATTACACTTAAAATCTAACTATTATAAATACTATGAACACTTTATAAAATAATAAAATTCTTATAAATACAGTCGATTTTGACTATATTATGTATTTTTTTTTTAATTGGAATTATTATTTTGTTGCTTTCAAGCAAAAATGATATGGTGTAGCGTTTACAATACTGAAAAAAATTTGCATCTACGTTTTCGTTACAAGAGGATTTGAGTGAATTGAAAAATTTTGATGTCTGCAGCTGATATGGAATGTTTAATAAATATGATGTAGCAACAAAATTGATTAACATTTAGGATTATAGGTTTATTTTATATATATTTTTTTTTACGTTATTGTAGGGACAGGGCACTTAGATATGACAATTATTACGTATTTAATTTAGGATTTTTTGGTCACGGACTTTTTATTTTCTGCAAAATAAATTGATATCGATCAAGTAAATTAAAACACTCTAAATGGTAAAATTTATTCTTATTATTTTAGTTTTAATGACTTATACCTTTAAATTAGCACTTAAATGCAAAATGCTAAAGCGACACAGTTAATGCAGTTTTATGTGGCTTTTATGCAAAATTATTCAAATTTTGTATTACTAGTGTAATACTTTTATCAGTCCGGATTCATTGAGTAATAAATTAAAACATAAATGTGGGTGAACAACTCTTTATTACTTATTTTTGCATTGCACTTTTGGCATTTCTTTAAAAATTCTTCACTCGCATTTTTTTTTTCTGTCTAAGAAGCATTTCTTACTATTAATGGCCTAAAAACTGACGATGGTTTTGTTTACTGTACTTTATAAGAAGCCTGATTTTCTAGAATTTTATTGGTAAAGGGTATGAGTCAATGCAATTCAATGGGAAAGAGTATTTGGAAGCGTCTACAGAAACAGAAATATAAAGAAGGATAAGAAGAAGAAGAAGAAAAAGAAGGGCCAGGAAGAAATCTCGTTATTTCTTTTAAATATGTCATCATCAGCGTTGAATATTCAAGCTTGACAATTACAGAACAATGAAAGAGACAAAAATGAAAATACAATCTTTGACACTGAGTGCAAGTTGGAGATAGAGTAGGAATATCGAAGAATTTTTAGGTGATGGAAGAAGACTTCATGAACCACAAAAAAAAGTCCAGTCCCAGAATGGCAAGAATTTGAGAAGCAACTGCTCATGAAATTCCAACACAGGTTTGTTTCAATTTGATTTAATCCTCCCACAGACTTTGGCCATCTCCCTCATAGCAGAATATAAGCTAATTACATTGAAAGGATACCAAGATTTTTCAAGTTGGTAGAAAATCGAACCAGTTTTAAACACCATTGCAATATTCACATGAGAAGGACGATCATAGAACAGACCTCACTTAAACATCACACAGAAGTTATTGGATTTTTTCATACTGACAACAGTGTAGAGATTTTGGTTCATAACTTTTCCTCTGGATTCTACTAACAAAATGTCGACGAGTAGCCATTACCAGTCATGAAATGACTGAATCTCAGTCTTGTTGAAATACCCTCAATAAAACCTTCGCGAGCTCCTAGCCTAAAAGTCTGTTCTCACAAAAGTCTCTGACAGTTTGCAAACTGTCACAAAGCATCGCCCATACATGTTTTCAATGTTATCGTCACAAGATAACTCGGTAACTTAGTTGACAGTTTGCAAACTGTTACAGACTGTTGTAAGAACAGACCTTATATCGATTTATTTACACTTATAAATTTTAACTGTACACTCCATAACACCCAACAAAGAAATGATGGCTATATAAGTATATTCCATAAAAACGAAAAATGTGTATTTTGTTCTATCATAGTACGTTCAAATTCGCCAAAAAAAAAATAACAACAAAACAAAACTTAATAGCGTATACGTGTATATTTTTACAATACAAATATAAAATAAAAACGCGTAGGTATAAGAAAAACATACACATTATAATTTTTGAAAAATTCAAAATACATTTTTTTTTGAAAATATTGTACAGCTTTACGTATCTATTTTGTTTAAGATATAAGTTTTGAAATTCTATTTAGGATACACGAAAAACATTTAAATACGTTTTTTTAACCATTAAGTTTGCTTTTTACACGATTACTAAGACTTCGTAACAACATAATTTGGACAGCTTAAAATAATGAAATATTTAGTGACTATTTTTTTGGATGGAATTTCATTGAAATAATTCACTGTCCAAAACAATTGTGTGGATAATATTTTGTAAATATCTTGAAGTGATGAAAATACATATTTTTCTTCTCTAACCTTTATTATTTATTATTATTAATATTATTATAAGTTTGTTCTACCCTGACACCAAATTACGTATAGAGATTACTAGAATATTTCCAAAAAGGGGGGGATTATTACTATTGTAGTGGCGACAATAATTTATTAGTTATTACTTCTTTTAAAGCTTGGCACAAATTTAAAATCAAAATAAAAAAATTAGGTTTTGTTGGCTTTCATTGCACCTATTTGTGTTTATAGTGTTTGTACACTTTTAAGTTTTTTTTGCACTGGCCCAGCATTGATCAATAATTAAATAATGTTTTTTTCTATGATCAATATTTTTAAATGCCAACTTAACCTATTTAAATAAATAAATTAAATTAAAATAATTAGTGTATTTTATATGAACAAAACACAACGAAAAAGACAACATTCAATAACATTATTGCTGCTTTATTTCTTTTTACCCTCAAAACCAAAATATCAATAATTATTATGCGAACAAAATAATCAGAAGATTAAGTAGGTGATTTTCTTTTGAGACTAATAATAATTATACTTGGATAAATAAAATATGCGTCGACAACAACGAAAAAAAATCACAACAATGTTACGTAAAAAATAACGTTATAGGTAATAAAAAAATAGGCATAAGGTTTTTAAGATCACCGGATCTGCAATAATTAAACTTAAAAAATAAAAAAAAAATACTATAAAAATACTTTAAGTATAAAAAAAAAAGAATTATAACGTGAACACACTACAAACTAAGTATACCTATATACAACGAATTATTTAACACAGAAAATAATGATCGAAAACACGAGGATCTGCTATGTCAAGTTTGAAAATAAATAAGTTTTATACCGGGTGAAGCAAAAAAAAATCTCACTTTCAATATATTTTTTTTCGTCTACGACCTTGATTTACAAATCTTAAAAAAAAAACACACATTTCCATAGGCCAAGCAATGGGGTGCTCAAAAGTGCTTTACCTGGAAAAAAATCAGTTGCCTTCGCAGTTTTTTGACCGTATCTGTCTACCAGTACCCCCTAGCCAAAAAATACTTATTATAAGAATTGTAGACAAGGAAATTTTCTACAATTTTCATATGAGGTATTTTTTTTCTGCGGTCAGTATTTCTAGAGTTATGTTGATATATACAGTCTGTCTAAGATGAGGATGGGATGGCATTAGAATCTGGAGAAGGGTTGAAGTCACAAATCGTTTTTTTTTTCCAAGCTTATTTCAGGAGATATTTCAAAATAAATGTCACTTCATCGAAACAACTTTCTCTACTCCACGAAATGATATTTTCAAATTTAAAATCAGACGTTTCGTCTTTGAGCCACCATCATCTACTTTTTTTAAATACGGTTCTTGATTTACTGTTTCAGAATTTGATGCTAACGCATCAAGTTTTTATGGAAAGTGCCAATAATATAAATTTTCTAATAAGTGCAATACGTCATTGGTTTTGGGACATCAGGAGCTGTAGTTGTAGCAATTAAAATTATGTTAGTACAGTATGTGTCGCAGGTGCGCAAGGGAATTTGAATTTTGATTATTCCCGGCTTTTGATTGGCTTTTTTCTGACTTTTCCCGGCTTTTGATTGCTTTAAGAATTCAATTTTTAATCATTCCCAGGTCTTGACTGGCTTAGAAATTCAAAATTTGAATATTCCCGGCTCTTGATTGGCTTCCAAAGCCAGTTTTTGAATTTTCCTTACTCTTAGTTGAGTTAAAAATTTTAATTTTAAACATTCCCGGCTCATGATTGGTTTAAAAATTGAATTTTTGATTATTCCCGGCTCTTGATTGGCTTAGAAATTCAAATTTTAAATATTCCCGGCTCTTGATTCGCTTCCAAAATCAATTTTCGAATTTTCCCGTCTCTTGATTGGGTTCAAGATTCAAATTTTGAATATTCCTGGCTCTTGATCAGTTCTGAAATTCAAATTTTGAATATTTCCGGCTCATGATTTGTTTATTTTTGATTATTCCCGACTTTTGATCGATTTAAAATTTTGAATAATCCCGACTCTTGATTGCATTAGAAATTCAAATTTTGAATATTCCCGGCTCTTGATAGGCTAAGAAATTCAAATTTTAAACCCGATCAAGAGCCAAGAATAATCAAAATTTGGAATTTGAATCCAATCAAGAGCCGGAAAAATTCAAAAATTGACTTTTGAAGCCAATCAAGAACTGGGAATATTTAAAATTTCTGAGCTAATCAAGAGGCGAGAATGTTCAAAATATGAAGCCAATCAAGAGCCGAGAAAATTCAAAAATTAACTTTAGAAGCCAATCAAGAGCCGGGAATATTCAAAGTTTGAATTTCTAAGCCAATCAAGAGCCAGGAATAATCACAGTTTGAATTTTAACCTCAATTAGGACCTGGGAAAATTCAAAAATTGACTTTGGATTCCAATCAAGAGCCAGAAATATTCAAAATTTGAATTTTTAAGCCAATCAAGAGCCAGGAATATTCGGGTTTGGAATTCGAATTTTGCATTTTCCCGGCTTTTGATTGGTTTGGGAATTTGAATTTTGATTATTCCCGGCTTTTGATTGGCCTTTTTCTGAATTTTCCCGGCTTTTGATTGGTTTAGGAATTCAATTTTTAATCATTCCCAGGTCATGACTGGCTTAGAAATTCAAATTTTGAATATTCCCGGCTCTTGATTGGCTTCCAAAGCCAGTTTTTGAATTGTCCTTACTCTTAAGTGGGTTTAAAATTTAAATTTTAAACATTCCCGGCTCATGATTGGTTTAGAAATTGAATTTTTGATTATTCCCGGCTCTTGATTGGCTTCAAATTTTGAATATTCCCGGCTCTTGATTGGCTTCCAAAGGCAGTTTTTGAATTGTCCTTACTCTTAAGTGGGTTTAAAATTTAAATTTTAAACATTCCCGACTCATGATTGGTTTAGAAATTGAATTTTTGATTATTCCCGGCTCTTGATTGGCTTCAAATTTTGAATATTCCCGGCTCTTGATTGGCTTCCAAAGCCAGTTTTTGAATTGTCCTTACTCTTAAGTGGGTTTAAAATTTAAATTTTAAACATTCCCGGCTCATGATTGGTTTAGAAATTGAATTTTTGATTATTCCCGGCTCTTGATTGGCTTCAAATTTTGAATATTCCCGGCTCTTGATTGGCTTCCAAAGCCAGTTTTTGAATTGTCCTTATTTTTAATTGGGTTTAAAATTTAAATTTAAACATTCCCGGCTCATGATTGGTTTAGAAATTGAATTTTTGATTATTCCCGGCTCTTGATTGGCTTCAAATTTTGAATATTCCCGGCTCTTGATTGGCTTCCAAAGCCAGTTTTTGAATTGTCCTTACTCTTAATTGAGTTTAAAATTTAAATTTTAAACATTCCCAGCTCATGATTGGTTTAGAAATTGAATTTTTGATTATTCCCGGCTTTTGATTGGCTTCAAATTTTGAATATTCCCGGCTCTTGATTGGCCAAGAAATTCAAATTTTGAATATTCCCGGCTCTTGATTCGCTTCCAAACTCAATTTTCGAATTTTCCCAAATCTTGATTGGGTTCAAGAATCAAATTTTGAATATTCCTGGCTCTTGATTGGTTCTGAAATTCAAATTTTGAATATTCCTGGCTGATGATTTGTTTAGAAATTGAATTTTTGATTATTCCCGACTTTTGATTGAATTCAAATTTTGAATATAACCGACTCTTGATTGGATTAGAAATTCAAATATTGAATATTTCCGGCTCTTGATTGGCTAGGAAATTCAAATTTTAAACCCGATCAAGAGCCAAGAATAATTAAAATTTGAAATTTGAACCCAATCAAGAGCCGGGAAAATTCAAAAATTGACTTTGGAAGCCAATCAAGAACTGGAAATGTTTAAAATTTGAATTTCTGAGCCAATCAAGAGCCGAGAATATTCAAAAAATGGAGCCAATCAAGAGCCGAGAAAAATTAACTTTGGAAGCCAATCAAGAGCCGGGAATATTCAAAGTTTGAATTTCTAAGCCAATCAAGAGCGTAACGTTTTGTTGAAGAATGACATGACATAAAAAAAAGTCAGTACCTAACCAAAAGTAGTATAACAAATGAATACGTGTATGTCTATTTTTTGCTCCTTAATCATTCCAACAACTTTAATAATAATTATAGGTTCTTTTTCACTATCTGTTGTCAGTACTACCACCGACTTCCTCTTCAGGTTAAGAGCCCAGCAGGTCTAATATTGTGGTAGTAACTTGAAGTTTTAAGTTTTTTCGTACAGTGTCATAGTGAAAAAGGAAAATGGAGCAAATTGAACAATTCCAACTGGAAAGTGTGGACATTTCAAGCTATGCTAGTGTTGATGGTAAATGGGCTCTTCGAAATTACCTGTGGTAATGATTCCATAGATACCTGAAGGAGATGCAGCGAGAATTACTAAATGGCAAATACAAGATGCCCGTGCCCAAGAAGCACTTGTTCTTCGAATGGAAGAAGAAGACATTATATCCCATGTAATACAGTGTGAAACCGCACGAGAAATGTGGCAAAAATTGGAGAGCATTTTCGAGAAAAAATCAGAGGTCAGTGTTCCCATGTTACATGAGCAATTTTATAACCTAAACTCCCCAAGATGGAACGGTAAAAAGTAATAAATTTGCAAGCAAAGCTGAAATAATGTGGTGAAAATATTCCTGAAACAATGATTCTTACGAAAATCATAATGGCGCTTCCTAACAAGTTTCGTCATTTCCGGTCAGCATGGGTCAGCATGACAGAGGTGTGAGAGAGTGTCAGCTTGCAAAGTCAGACTTTGAATAATTTGGCAGATCGTCTTTCAATTAGGCAATCCAACGACCTGTCCAAATGGCGACTGGTTGGCAAACAATGAACAAAAAACATATGTTTTTTTTTGGCAGGATTATCAATACTCGGGGCGAGTTTTCAAATCTGACACTTTTCTGACATCATTGACATATAACAACCCATATTCTAAAAATTTCAAAATGCCGGCTGGTTGGCAAAAGTCACGTAGTTTGGATTCCTTAATTGAAGAGGAGCGGCTGACAAGAGTTGAGGAACAATCTGTGGCAGTATGATGACATTTCACCACGCAACAACAGGGTTGCATTTAGGAACAGCACTCTGGGTGTGAGAGTGACCCTAGAGTAACTCTAAACCGTTTGTAAATTAACAGGTGCTAACTCGGAGCAATACGCTGGAACCGTTCAGAAATCGAGAGTTGACTTGCCCTGAGTGCGCCCAAATTACCCTACTCAAGAGACTGAGTTGAAAAACGTCCCGAGGTTTTTACCGGGCTTGACGTGATTCATTATGATTATTAGTGATGGAGGCCTCAAAGATGGAGTCGAAAAATATGAATATCAATAATGTTGACTTTGCCGTTGTGTTGAAGAATAACGAGCCCATTGTTAAAGATGGTTCTGCAATTATTCAACATATAAAAGGTTAGTTATTTCACTATTTGAAGACCTTTCTTCAGATGAAGGATGTTCCAGCAGAACCTCTTTTTTATAAGAACATAATACATGCACCTCTCACTGCCATTTTTAAAATTGTACTGCGTCGTAATTCATAACATTGAAATTTACCGCAACGACCCACTAGGTTCAGAAATAGCGCACCCAGAGTGCAGAACACTCTTACCAACAACTACTCTACCTTCACACTCCATTTCTAAATTCACTCCAGCGGCTTAAACGTCAAAGCGAAATGTGAGCAATTGTTAACCGAAACCGATGATGTTTTTGTTTGTGGTAAGGTGGGTCACCTGAAAAGTCAGTGCCGGAATATCGAATGCAGTTATTGCAAGAGAAAAGGGCATATGATGATAGATTGTTTTGCAAAGAAAAGGAAAGAAGATCGGGATAAATCTCGGGAAAGTGATGCCAGTGGTAATAGAGGAAGTCTTGCACTAGAGCAATTTCAAATGACATCCATTCCCAAGTAAATATGGAATGGTATATGGATAGGTAGTGGAGCCTACCAGCACATGTGCAAAGATAGGAATATTTTTTGTAGTTTCGTGGATGTTGAAGTGTCAAAGTATGTGAAAACTGGTGATGGTGCAACGTTGAAGGCAAAATGGTAGGGCCGAGAGAGAGAGAGAGAGTTAATGGAAGCAGTGAGAGTGATGCTTGCTGAGAGCAACTCATTTAAAACATTCTAGGCAAAGGCAGCAAATACTGCTCTGTATTCTTTCTAAATCGCACTGGAACTAGACTGTTGAAGCTGAGACACCTTATGAGCAACATTTTAGAGATCTTTCTATATTAACATGGTAAAAGGTACATTTGAAAAAGAAGTATGGGCATATATACCTACTGAAAAAAGAAAGAAGCTCGATATAAAAAGTAAAGAGGGGGTGTTTGTTGGGTATTCTGATTATGTTAGGGAATTTAGAGTTTATTATGAAAAAGAAAACAAGGTTGCTATAGAAAGAGAGATAACATTTACTGCAAAAAAGGAACCTTTACAAGAAAAGTCTGTTTATTTAAACCTAGAGATGGGGGAGAGAAACTACGAAGAGTTTATTAAAAAAATGGTGGAGGAGCTACACGATGAGGAACTTGATATAAATAATATGGAAACTGAAGAACTATACTATTGGGGCAAACAAATAATGAAACACCTGAGAGAAAAAGAGATGAGAGATTAAGAACACCGACTTCCTCCACAGAAGCTTATAATAGTTATTTACATTATATACAAGTGCATTTATGGACATGATTACAATAACAAGTGTGACGCACGAGTTTTGTAGTCGTGTTTAAACGCACGTGTGATGTACAGCGTTTTATCTACAAAGCGAAAAATATTTTTGCAATTATTTACGTTTATAAATAGTTGTCTACTTTCATATTACCTTTACAGGTTTAACTTTGACATTTGTCTAATCACCAAAAATAGTTGTTTTATAGATTCATAATCTAGTCCATAACACCACTGGTTATGTTATGAATTCATAACCTAATGCATAACACCACTAGCTGTGTTATGAGTCTCATGACATAACTCAAATACTAGAAAAATGGTTATGTATAAACGTCATAATCAAACGATTGTAGATAAAATAGAAAATAAGAGTCCGTATTTGAAAAAATCAAGTTGATGATGGTGGCCCAAAGACGAACCGTCAAATTTTAAAATTGATAATGTCATCTTGTAGGGTAACAAAAGTAATGATGATGAAGCAACTACTTATATCAATATAACTTCTAAACTATTGATCGCACCAAAAAATGGAATGGAACAAAGTTGTAGGAAATTTTCCCCTCTATAACTTTTGTAATAGCTATTATCCACGTAGGGCGTACTCAAAACAAGATAATGCGAAAAAACTTATTTTGTGCGCCATCTTTACTTTACAATATAGCGGCGGCTTACCTAGGTCGCAAACTTAATATGTTATTCAGGTCATAAAGTGGTGCTAATCTACAAATTTTGTATTTTTTTTCCAGGTAAATCCACCTGTTGCTTGGCCTAATATCAAAACCCAGAGTTACAAGCACTGCAAACAAGTACCACTTTTTTTGCTTTAACCGATATTAAATTAAATTTCCAAGTTATTAACTGACTTTGCAGATCTTCTAATTTAGATTTTAAAATTCGCTTTAAAATGGCTTTATACTAAAGTCCTTCAAACTACACTTCACTTACGGTAAAACTTCTAAAAAAAACCATTGAATTGTCATTTTTACCGAAGAAAAATGATCTAATAGCACAGCACTGTCCGAAATAATGTAAGAATTTTTTTGGAGCTTAGAAAATAAAAATCAAAACTTCAATTACTAAAGTTCAGCTACTCGAATAAATAAAAAATTGAAAAATCCTAGCTCCAAAACAACTAAAAACTTAACGTTAAACTATATACAATCGTCCGACAAAATAACACCAAAAAAAACACAACAAAAATAAAGCTGCATTAATTAACTTGTCACAGAAAATTAATTAGGTATGGCACAAGCAGATTTATGTTGGAACTTTCGTTTTCAATAGATCCGATGGACTCTCATTTTTTGTCATATTCATTTTAATCGAATCATGATGGTGATGTATACTATCACCACCGCCCATACTCTGTTTCTGTTTATCTTGCTGTTGTTGTTTGTGCCTCTCCTGCTCCTCTCTTTCTCGTCTGGCTTGTTCGTTTATTTCCTTCACCGCTCTCAGTTCTTTTTTCAATTTCATTCGTCGATTTTGGAACCAGATTTTAATTTGACGTTCAGTGAGACAGAGTGCATGCGCGATCTCTATTCGTCTTCGTCTTGTCAGGTAGTGGTTGAAGTGGAACTCTTTTTCTAATTCCAGAGTCTGGAAACGGGTGTAAGTTTGACGTCCTCGTCGTCTCGGACAACCATTTGGACCTGAAACAATAATTTTGACTCTATTAAACAACAGAATATAAAATAAAAACTTTCTAAAACTTCAACACACATTAACCCTTTTTCGTAGAATTTATTTGCATCATCATAGTCCGTTTGACTTTGTTCATTCTCTCTTATAACTTTCTATTTTATTGCTTTGGCAATAGTTAAAGGGTGCTGTAAAACCCTTTTTATCGAACTTGGATAGGTAAAAAACTAAGAATCGAAAAAGGTTCGTGAAGTATTACGACTTTCACCCAGGAACTAAAAAAGGGTTTATGATGAAAGGGTCGTAAAAAGTGAATTGGATAGAAAGCGTTTTGAGTTTAGGCAGGTAAAAAAAAAGAACCTTTTAATTGTATTGTTGAGGCCAATTTTTCACAAATCAATATATATTTATTTAGAATCTAAAAACATATATCCGACTCCAAAAATACTCGAGAATCTCGAGTTATGTTTGTAAACAGTCACTTTACATAACGAGATGTTAACCCCAACTGTGCCCTTTCACGCACACCCCCTGCAAACAAATCTCTTTTTACTGGGCAGTTTCCCAAGTTTATTCGTGTTTTGGATGTTTCAGGAAATGTAGTTTCGTGAGAGATACATCCTTATATTGGAAAAGGGAATTTCTGGAGAGATCGAATTAAATTGTGCAGAAAAAAAAAACAGATGGGTCGGATTCGATATAGAGTGGAGTGAGTGAACATCTGGATTGATGATGGTTTATGGGTTCATGGATATAATTTCATAATCTCCTTTTAGGCAATTCTATTAGATATGCAAGCAGATTGAGGTTTTCTTCGGTCGTTATACGATTCTCATACAATCCGAAATCTTCTCGTTCAATATTTTTGGTACAAATATGCTAGTTCCTCTCATTTAAATAGTCTAAACCATCATGTATATGTATGTTTGCTAATGCCCAAAAAACAGTTTGAACTCTAATATTCTTTTTCTTACAAATTCTACATATAGGTAAACTAAGATCATGTCCTATGAAAGTGTGAAATTCCTCGGAATATGTAGTTATTAGCTTGGTTAATAGCTATTTAGAAAAGCATCTTTCGAAGGAAGTTATGGAAGACGCAATTTCAGAACATCTCACTTAAAGGTAGTGGCCAGAAATTTTGTGATTCTTCAGCTTATCATCATTCAACTTTGGATTTAGATATCTTTCAATTCTCGCAAGTGAACTCTATTTTGAGCTACTTATCTCCAGTTTAATCCTGCAGTTATTTTGAGGTCGTTGGTCCATATCATTTGTGGTCTGTCTCTTGATCTATGCCCCAACATAATATCGAGTCCATTATATCAGTTTTGAGTTCCATCTGTGATCTTTTTGTCTTGTGAAGAGAACTAGGAAACTCCATTTGGATAAGATTAACTCTGCGTTCTATGTAAATCAGCGGAATCTTTTGTTTCCTTCATTTCTTCAAGTTACAGTATCTGTCCTTGATAGACTGCTGAGTTATTCCAGAGGATGGTTTTAAATGGTGACGGTTCTCTCTTCTTCTGCATTAGTATCGATCACCGGTCACATGCATTTTTATTCAAGTTTTCATAGAGCCCAACTATCCATCCGTATTTTTCATTTCAGATCCTCCTTCATAGGTCTCTACTGGAATGACCTTTGATTCCCACATTGATAGCTGCACATTTGTGGGAAATATAAATGAATTAAACTAGATCTTGGATAATTGAAATCTCTGCAACTATACTATTTTGCTTTTAACTTATCGGTACATTTTGACCATACTGTCCTTGCTTTACTCTGGAAGTTTCTTATTACATAATCCAGTAATCGCTAAGTCTGTAGTTATTCCATCTTCTACACTCACACGATTCAGATAATTTATGCAAATTATTGATTAACCTATCTTTCCTTCCAATGTTGGCTGTTTCAAGAATTTTGCATTCTCATTACGAACTGGTTTTCAGTCTCAAATATATCCGGGTGTCCTTAGAAAAACTGAAACTTTGGCAGCATAGGTATTATGTTTGCTGATTCCAAACACCACTTTCAACTCTAATTTTCGTCTTCTTCCGAATTCTACATGCAGGTAAAGGAAGATCATGTCCTGTGAAATTCCTCGGAATAGTATTAGTTTTGGTAGTAGCCTTTTATGAATTTATGAAATAAGCAATTACAAAACCTCTCACTTTAAGATAGTGGTCAAGAAATCTTGTGATTCTTCTCCTTCTTCAGCTTGTCATCATCCAACTTTGGATTTAAGTCTTTCCCAAGTCTCGCCTGTGAACTCTATTTTGAGCCACTTATCTCCAATTTAATCCTGCAAATATTTTGAAGTTGTTGGTTTATATCATTTGTGGTCTGTCTCTTGATCTGTGCCCAGCATATGGTTTCCAATGACCATAGTTTTGAGCTCCATCTGTCATCTTTCTGTATTGTAAGGTGTATGAAGAAACTTCATTTGGATGAGATCAACTCTGCTTCTCATGTAAATCAGTGGAATCTTTTGTTTCCTTCCTTTTTCCAAATTTCAGTATCTATACTTGATGGATTGCTGAATTATTTATTACAGAGGAGGCCTTTAAATGGTGACGGTTTTCTCTTCTTCAGCGTTGTTATCTTTTATCGGTGACATTATTGTAGGATTGGTAATTCCATATTACCTGCTCGACAAACGAGAAGACAAAAGACGTGAAGACGGAAGACGTAAAAACAAAGAACGTGAAGATGCAGGTTGTGCAAAAGAAAGACGGAAAAAAGTAGAAAAAATTAACTATGAGAAAAAACAGAAAGACGAAGAGAAGAAGCGAAGAATTGAAGAAAGACGAAATGATGAAGAAGATAAATGAGCATATGAAAAAAGACGAAGAAGATAGACGTGCATATGAAGAAAGGCGACAAGACAAAGACGAGTCGGATTCTGAGCAGGATGGCCGAGTGTAGGATTGGTAATTCCATATAACCTGGCAGCATTCCAATAGGTACCTATGTTCACCTAGTTTACCGTTCACCTAATTTATAGTAGGTACCTATGTTAGCTATAATCAAGTACCAGTGTTGATTGGTACCAATAGTTGTTAAAATTGTTATGGCAGAGGGAGTGACAAATAAAATAAATCTGCTAGAGGAACTGTGTTGTTTCATTTACTCCTAGACAACTACAAAACCCTACATTTTTATTCAACTTTCCATGAAACCTAACTGGATATTCATTCGTAGTTTTCATTCTAGATACTCTTCCGTAAGTCTTACTGAAATAACCTTTATTGATTCAACATTGATAGCTGCATTATAAAAATCTTGAACAATTGAAATATCTGCTACCGAACCATTTCCTCGATCCTTTGTTATCATTTCCTCGTTACTTGGCATTTTGCTTTCAACTTTTTGTTACATTTTGACCAAACTTTCCTTGAAAATTTTCCATTATGTACTTCAATAACTGTCAAGTCTGCAAATATTCCTTCTTCCATCTTCCACACTCACACGATTCAGATAATTTGTGCAAATCATTGATTAATCCATCTTTCCTTTCATTCTTAACCATTGCAAGACATTTGGATTCTCATTAAGAACTTGTTTTTAGTTTCAAATATACATACAGTCAAATCATGTGAAAACTTCTATTAAATCTCCTTCGAAAGCTTCTGAAAAATACTTCAAGCAATCAGAGGTACTTCAAACTTACAGGATATATTGAGTAGGGTCTTTTTGTCAAACAGAACAAATCGCAAGTGAATCTCAGACTCAGAAATGGAATTATGATTTTTTTCTCACTAAGATGCAAAAAACTCGTGTAAAATTTCTATTAAATTACATTTGGAAGCTTCTGAAAAATACTTCAGGCAATCAGAGGGACTTGAAACTTTCAGGATATATTGTGTATAGTATTTTTGTCAAACAGAACAAACCGCAAGTGAATCTCAGACTCAAAACTGGAATTATGAATTTTTTCCTCACTTAGATTTAAGAAAATCATTTAAAATTTATATGAAATCACCTTTGAAAGCTTCTGAAAAATACTTCAAGCAATCAGAGGGACTTCAAACTTTCAGGATATATTGAGTAGGGTATTTTTTTCAAACATAACAAACCGCAAGTGAATCTCAGACTCAAAACTGAAATTATGAATTTTTTTCTCACTTAGATTTAAGAAAATCATTTAAAATTTATATGAAATCACCTTTGAAAGCTTCTGAAAAATACTTCAAGCAATCAGAAGGACTTCAAACTTTAAGGATATATTGAGTAGGGTATTTTTGTCAAACAGAACAAACCACAAGTGAATCTCAGACTCAAAACTGAAATTATGAATTTTTTTCTCACTTAGATTTAAGAAAATCATTTAAAATTTATATGAAATCACCTTTGAAAGCTTCTGAAAAATACTTCAAGCAATCAGAGGGACTTCAAACTTTCAGGATATATTGAGTAGGGTATTTTTGTCAAACAGAACAAACCGCAAGTGAATCTCAGACTCAAAACTAGAATTATGAATTTTTTTCTCACTTAGATTCAAGAAAATCATCTAAAATTTATATGAAATCACCTTTGAAAGCTTCTGAAAAATACTTCAATCAATCAGAAAGACTTCAAACTTTCAGGATTTAATAAGTAGAGTGTTTTTATCAAACAGAACAAACCGCGAATGGATCTCAGACTCAGAAATGGAATTATAAATTTTTTTCTCACTTAGATGCATGTAAAATTTCTATTAAATCAGATTTGGAAGCTTCTGAAAAATACTTCAAGCAATCAGAGGGACTTCAAACTTTCAGGATTTATTGAGTAGGGTCTTTTCATTAAACGAAACAAAAAGCAAGTGAATTTCAGACTCAGAAATTAAATTATGATTTTTTTTTCACTTAGATACATCCATGGTAATTAATTTATGTTCCATACTATCATTAACTAATTAAAACCTTGACAACAAAGTGTAATTTATACGATGCAATTTCAAGATAATTAAAAAAATATATACATTTTTGTGTAGTAGAAAGTAGAAAAATCAGGCTTTCTGACGCTG